TGCTAAGAGACGTGCTAACCTGAAAATGTGCAAAAAACCCCATTCCGACACACATTTTTGCTTCAGCACGGAAGATGCTAAGAGACGTGCTAACTTGAAAATGTGCACAGAACCCCGTTCCGACACACATTTTTGCTTAAGCACCGAAGATGCTAAGAGACGTGCTAACTTGAAAATGTGCACAGAACCCCATTCCGAGACACTTTTTTGCTTCAGCACGGAAGATGCTAAGAGACGTGCTAACTTGAAAATGTGCACAGAACCCCATTCCGACACACATTTTTGCTTCAGCACGGAAGATGCTAAGGAAGTGCTAACTTGAAAATTGACACAGAACCCCATTCCGACACACATTTTTGCTTCAGCACGGAAGATGCTAAGAGACGTGCTAACTTGAAAATGTGCACAGAACCCCATTCCGACACACATTTTTGCTCAGCACGGAAGATGCTAAGAGACGTGCTAACTTGAAAATGTGCACAGAACCCCATTCCGACACACATTTTTCCCGAAAGCATCGCGAAGGGTTCTTCCGTGTGGAACGCCGCAGCTGAGTACATAGATGACAGACATAGAATCAACTTACTTGATTCCATACTTTACTCTACATTCTACACTTGATACTTGACTCTACACTTGATACTTATTTACTTACTTGACCCCTATGACTGACTCTCTACACTTGACACTTGACTCTATGATACTTGACTCTACACTTGATACTTGACTCTATGTTATGCTTACGACTTCCTTACTTACTTACTTACTTCAATCTACTTACTAACTTACTTGACACTTGACACTTGACACTGGACTCTATGTTATGCTATCTCTATACTTACTTACTTACTTGACTTGCTTACTTATACTTACTATACTTACTATACTTACTACTTACTGACTTACTTACTGACTCTACTTACTTACTTATGATTACTTACTTATTACTTACTTATGACTGACTCTCTATGCATCTATGACTTACTATGACTTATGACTTACTCTCTACATCTCGGTATCTTAATATTTCTTTTAAAGGCGGGGGTGGCACCGTCGGGGTCCATCGGGAATGCAACCCTTCACAGGGATTCGCCTCCTCGGGCGTTCAAACGCGAGGTAAAGTTACACATTTTAGGCGCGCGGGTGAACCCTTCACAGGGATTCGCCTCCTCGGGCGTTCAAACGCGAGGTAAAGTTACACATTTTAGGCGCCCGGGTGAACCCTTCACAGGGATTCGCTGCCTCGGGCGTTCAAACGCGAGGTAAAGTTACACATTTTGCGGTTCCCGCGCAACCCTTCACAGGGATTCGCTGCCTCGGGCGTTCAAACGCGAGGTAAAGTTACACATTTTGCGGTTCCCGCGCAACCCTTCACAGGGATTCGCCTCCTCGGGCGTTCAAACGCGAGGTAAAGTTACACTTCTTGCGGGCGCCGCGCAACCCTTCACAGGGATTCGCCTCCTCGGGCGTTCAAACGCGAGGTAAAGTTACACTTCTTGCGGGCGCCGCGCAACCCTTCACAGGGTTTGGGTGCAGTTCAATTTTTTTTGCAACCCTTCACAGGGATTTGCATTTTGCAACCCTTCACAGGGATTGGCGTGGTCGGGTGTTCGAACGCGAGGTAAAGTTGCATTTTTTGATTTGCATTGAAATGAATTTTGCAACCCTTCACAGGGATTGGCGTGGTCGGGTGTTCGAACGCGAGGTAAAGTTGCAATTTTTGATGAGCATTGAGATGAATTTTGCAACCCCTTCACAAGGATTGGCGTGGTGGAGTGTTCGAACGCGAGGTAAAGTTGCAATTTTTGATGAGCATCGAGATGAATTTTGCAACCCCTCACAAGGATTGGCGTGGTGGAGTGGTTGAACGCGAGGTAAAGTTGCAATTTTTGATGAGCATTGAGATGAATTTTGCAACCCTTCACAGGGATTGGCGTGGTGGAGTGTTCGAACGCGAGGTAAAGTTGCAATTTTTGATGAGCATTGAAATGAATTTTGCAACCCCTCACAGGGATTGGGGTGGTCGAGTGGTCGAACGCAAGGTAAAGTTACACATTTTGCGGTGCCCCGCGCAATCCTTCATTGAGAGGGATTAGCTTCCTCGAATGTTCTAATCGGCAGGTGTGCAGGTACTGTTGCATGGTCTTTGGTCGCTGCGTGTAACCCTCTGCATGGATTGGCGTGGACCAGGGTTGAAACGTGTGTGCAAACTACTACTTGTATCCTTTCCGCCGTGCAACTCTCCACAGGGAGTGGCGTGGTCGATTGCAGGAACTTGCATCTCTGCGAGGTGCAATTGGCAACCCTTCAGAGGGATTGGCAGATGCATATATCGATAATATACGCACATATATATATATATATATATATATATATATCTATCTTTCTATCTATCCATATATAGATAGATAGATAGATAATAGATATATAGATAGATAGATAGACATATATTCATGCGCCTGTACGGCGCGTACGCTGTCTTGCGACGGCGCAACGCGCCGCTGCCTGGCCGATGACCTGCAGGCTCGGAGCCCGCGCAATCCTTCATTGAGAGGGATTAGCTTCCTCGAATGTTCTAATCGGAAGGTGTGCAGGTACTGTTGCATGGTCTTTGGGCGCTGCGTGTAACCCTCTGCATGGATTGGCGTGGTCCAGGGTTGAAACGTGTGTGCAAACTACTACTTGTATCCTTTCCGCCGTGCAACTCTCCACAGGGAGTGGCGTGGTCGATTGCAGGAACTTGCATCTCTGCGAGGTGCAATTGGCAACCCTTCAGAGGGATTGGCAGATGCATATATCGATAATATACGCACATATATATATATATATATATATATATATATATCTATCTTTCTATCTATCCATATATGGATAGATAGATAGATAGATAATAGATATATAGATAGATAGATAGATAGACATATATTCATGCGCCTGTACGGCGCGTACGCTGTCTTGCGACGGCGCAACGCGCCGCTGCCTGGCCGATGACCTGCAGGCTCGGAGCTTCTTCCTGCTTTGTAGAGGCTTTCTCCTTGCACACGTTTGACTCGCAGGCTGCCTGGTCGATGACCTGCAGGCTCGGAGCTTCTTCCTGCTTTGTAGAGGCTTTCTCCTTGCACACGTTCGACTCGCAGGCTGCCTGGCCGATGACTTCTGCAGGCTCGGAGTTTCTTGCTGCTCTGTAAAGGCTTTCTCCTTGCACGTTTGCCTGCCTCGTTTGGCTCGAAAGGCAGAAGAAAGGGAAGAAAGGGAAAACGCGTTGCAGTATTTTGCACACATTGCAGCATCTTACCATCTTACTACACCTAGTACGCTTCCTTGCCTGCCTTGACGCTGTCTTGCGAAAGGGCCGGTGTGGAGATTATTCTCAGCTTATTCTCATCTTCTCAGCTGACCATACTTAGGACAGTTGTTTGCCCGCCTCGACGCTGTCTTGCGAAAGGGTCGGTGCAGACACTTTTGCATTTGAACATACTTGGGACAGTGTTTTGCTTGCCTCGACGCTGTCTTGCGAAAGGGCCGGCGTGGACGCCTTCTTCCATCCCATGGATTCGCGGTTGCAGAAGTTCCGCGCCGGTTATGCCCGGCAGGGCGAAGACTGGCTCCGCACCGAGCTGGACAAGCAAAACCGGCAGGACCTGCGTGGGCTCTGTGTCGCTGCGGGTGTGCAACAGAAGTCTGCCGGGCACACGCTTACCAGAGCGGAGCTGTTGGAAGCTCTATCACAGAGCATTGCCGGGGAGCAGGCTTCATGGGGAAGCGGCGTTTTTGAGGATTGTCCATGTCAGCTTCGGTTGCAGTGAGCTGTCAGCGTCGTCGTCGGGTGGGATGTTTAGTGCTCTGCAGTGAAGCAGTTCTTGGTGTCAGGCCGATGAAGCGGCGTCGCAGCAAAGGCTGCAGGAGCTGCGCACGGGTTATGCCGAGCAGGGCGCAGCGTGGCTTCGCACCGAGCTGGACGAGCAAAACCGGCAGGAGCTGGCTGAGCTCTGCATCGCTGCGGATGTGCGACAGAAGTCAGCCGGGCGCAAGCTCTCCAGAGCGGAGTTGTTGGAAGCTCTATCACAGAGCATTGCCGGGGAGCAGGCTTCATGGGGAAGCGGCGTTTTTGAGGATTGTCCATGTCAGCTTCGGTTGCAGTGAGCTGTCAGCGTCGTCGTCGGGTGGGATGTTTAGTGCTCTGCAGTGAAGCAGTTCTTGGTGTCAGGCCGATGAAGCGGCGTCGCAGCAAAGGCTGCTCGAGCTGCGCACGGGTTATGCCGAGCAGGGCGAAGCCTGGCTCCGCGGCGAGTTGGGGAAGCACGGCAAGGATGAGCTGGTTGGGCTCTGTGTCGCTGCGGGTTTGCAACGACACCGTGCCGGGTGCACGCTTACCAAGCCGGAGTTGTCGAAAGCTCTATCACAGAGCATTGCCGGGGAGCAGGCTTCATGGGGAAGCGGCGTTTTTTAGGATTGTCCATGTCAGCTTCGGTTGCAGTGAGCTGTCAGCGTCGTCGTCGGGTGGGATGTTTAGTGCTCTGCAGTGAAGCAGTTCTTGGTGTCAGGCCGATGAAGCGGCGTCGCAGCAAAGGCTGCAGGAGCTGCGCACGGGTTATGCCGAGCAGGGCGAAGCCTGGCTCCGCGGCGAGTTGGGGAAGCAGAGTCGGGCGGAGCTGGTTGGGCTCTGTGTCGCTGCGAGTGTGCGACGACACCGCGCCGGGCACACGCTTTCCAAAGCGGATCTGTTGGAAGCTTTTTCGCTGGGCATCGTCCAGGAGGAGGTATGACGGGGGGAAGGGGGGCGTGTGCGTGCATGTGTGTGTGTGTGTGTGTGTGTCTGTTTGTTTCCGTGCTTACAGGTGAATATCGAGGACCTCTTCACGGCAGATGGCTTGCGGCGCTTGGCAGGAGAGCTCGGGGAAAAGGCACCACCTCGAATTCGGGCGCGGCTTCGTGTCTTGCCCTTGCGGGCCGATGGACCCTGTATGCAGCGAGTGGCCGAAGATCTGGGTGTGGCGTTTGAGGACGTGAGCAAGCAGGTCTTGATTCAGCGGATTGTCATGGCGTTGTGCCCCCTGCGCGTTCCGAGTGCAGACGGTGACATTAAGTACCTAATGTGGAGATCCCTCTACGCGGTTCGCAGAGCCGGAGCACGGGATGCTGCAGCGGTGGTTGCAGCGGCTTGCGACATCTTCGAGGATGCCAACGTGCGCCAATCCGCGGCTGCCTACTCGTTGGACATTACGGTAGAATCATTTTCCGCGAGACATCATTCTTCCGATTCGGAGAGAGATCTACTTGCGCAAAAGATTCTGGACAGTCTGCAGCATTGGTCACAGGTCGACACGGCGCTGTCTCGAGAAGTGAGTTCTACGTGGGAGGTTGCTGTTGCCGGCTTGAGAGACGCGACCGTGCCGTGTCTGACTTCTTCCATGCAGCATTGTCTTCTTGCAGCCGTGTTGGAAGATCACGTGGATCAGCGGACAGGCGAGCATTATCGCAAATCACGATCTTCGTGTAATGTCTTGGATGCCGTGTTGCTGTCGTGCGTTGTGCGTGTGAGTTCGGGAAACAGGTTGGTGGCGTCTTGCAGATTGCCTCGAGCGAGTGGACCCCGTGGACGTTGCTCGCCGGCTCTGGTATCTGGCCAACCTCGAGGCGGAGCCGCGAGCGTGTGCAACGGACGGGTACGAAGATCGCCAAGAGGTGTTGGAGGCAACCCGCGCGAAGCCGTCCCGAAACATAGAGAGTCTGGGACGTGATCGTGCATGGGGTCATGGACATAATGAGGATTAAGTTGGACTGTAGCTTCATGTGCGCACGCGTTGCTGTGCGTTTCTCGCTCATGTTTGTTTCACCGGGTCCTGGCAGGCTGTCCTGAGCATTATCCAGCACAAGTTTCGGACTCGCAAGTTCGATCGGGCCGATACCACACTGCTTCGGGGGCTGATGCGTCGGTATGGTTGGGAGCGACAAGCACAGCCGGACGAACCCTGCTACTGGTACCAGACCTTCGGGCACGTGCGGAAGTCAGAAGACTGGTCGCAATTTGCTTGGTTTTTGGTGACGGAGCTGTTGCACCCGCTGGCTGGCATCGGCATTCGTGACTTGCACAATCCTAACACAGTGTCGGCAGCCAGGGCTAGCGAGCAAGGCATAGATAAAGACACGCTCACCTTGCGGAATCAGCTTCTGGACTGGCAGACGACTGAAGGGTGTTACCGTTTGCCTTCGCGAGAGGAGAATCCAGTCCTGGCCAAGGGTGTTGAAGCGTACTACCCTGACGGTGCCACTGCGAGGGCCCGGGCCATGAGAAAGGCTTATCCGCCGGATTTCGATCCGTTGTGCTGGCTGGCACTTGACTGCCTTGGTGATGGCTCGGAGGCGCTAGACGGCATTCTCTGGCGTTCGGCCGTGGAGCGGGCAGTGCTGTTCGCCGTCCCCGGCTGGTGTGAGGGCAGGCGTATGAAGCAACGTTTCTGGCCCGTGGAAGACTTGCTTCGGAACGCGGACGAGGCGGGGCGGGAAGCGCTCGGGATCTTGCGAGACTCCGAGGTGTCGTTGCCTTTGAAGCTGGATCGCGTCGCTGTGCTGCTGAATTGCTCTCGGAGCGTACCTGCCGTAAGCGAGGCGGTAGCTCGTCGCCTGCTCCAGACTTTTTCGGACGATGCCTCGGTGATGTGCGAACGGTGTTGCTGCCGCTTATGCGACTTCAGTTGCCGGAAGCAATCGGAGCTGAAGCAACACGTCGTGGACACTCATCTCGTGCGGCCGCTGGATGTGGAGCTCGCCTTCGTTGAATACCGCAAGAAAATCCTGGCGATGGTGGAGCATGCCGGTCCGATGGCTTCTTGTCGCATGCTGCGCCTTCTTGCTTTCGGTTACGGTAAAGGGTCGACGTGCGTAATAACGTGTTAGGAACGATCACAGTCAGGTGCCTGGGATGAGTCGTCAGCGTGCAATCGCTGCCAATTTCGACGAGGAGCTGCGATGCCCTCTTGAAATGGACGGTGGCCGAGCGGAAGGAGGCTGCGTGGTGTGCGCTCGCCGTTTCTGGATGAACGAGTTGTTTTCCATGGTTCTCTTTCAGAGGCCGGATGAAGATGCGTCGACAATCGAGGTACCTGCCGGCGCCGAGACGCTGGCCCCGAATCAGCAGCACCGTCTTTGCCGATTGTTGGGCGTCGCTCGGTATGCGGAGCGCTGGCCGCAGATAGCTCTTTCCGAACTGAAGGCCTCTGCTGTGGAGCATCCGTACATTGAAGGCGAGTTTCTGCTGCTGCATCGCCGCCGCATGCCGGCATCTTTCACGGACCCCTGTACGGTTTGCAGAGACTGTCGCAGGAGTTTGAAGAGCAGTATTCTCACGCTTCCCAGGCATGCGCTGGCCAACGACCTTTGGATCGGACGCGTATTGCCCGAGCTCAGCAATCTCTCGGCTGGAACAAAACGGCTGCTTCCCATCGTGCGGGTTTGCATGCAGGTGACCGTCTTGCAACCTTTGTCACTGCCGCGAGACGAGAGGCAGAAGGGATACATCGGTAACACGATCTTCCTGCCGCAGGCTGGGCCTAGCGCCATCCAGGCTACTCTGCCTCCCAAAGACCAAGACATGGCCGAGAGCATCTTGTTCGTTTTGGTTGGGCAGAAGAAGCAGGAACTGCGGTCCAGCAAGCTTTTGCAAGCTCCCAGAGAGGAGTAATGTGCCGCTGTTGAGAAGCTGCGCGAGACGTCGCCTTACTACAGGTCGGTCGTGCTGGAGGCCGGCCTAACTCCTGGTGACGACGTCGACGCACTGGAAGGCTGCGTTTTGGAAACGGCCGCTGACAGTTACTTGGCCCGCGAACTTTTGCAAAAGGGCCCGGCCGATGCGCAAGGCCAAGATGAGGAGGGCGAGCCAGACGAACAGAATCTGGATCGCGGCCCCGGCAGCTCGGAGGACGCTGTCTTGCGAAGTCCAGCTGCCGGCGTCAGCAACTTGGAGGACGCTGTCGTGCGAAGTTCAGTTGCTGATCCGGATCCTGGCCGCGGCGCCGGCAGTTCGGAGGACGCTGTCTTGCGAAGTCCAGCTGCCGGCGCCAGCAACTTGGAGGACGCTGTCTTGCGAAGTTCAGTTGCTGATCCGGATCCTGGTCGCGGCGCCGGCGGTTCGGAGGACGCTGTCTTGCGAAGTCCAGCTGCCGGCGCCAGCAACTTGGAGGACGCCGTCTTGCGAAGTTCAGGTGCTGATTCGGATTCTGGCCATCTGGTATCCAGCATCGTTGGATTGAACGATCAGTCGGATGACGGCAATCGCTGGTTGCGAGTGTGTAGCGATGTAGAAGAACTATGTCGTCGCAGGCCTCCGCAATATTACACGGATGCGGAATCCGTCCTTCGCAGCCGGGTGCAGAACGAGGTGGATCCGGATCGGCCGCATGCTGTGGGCTTGTTGGGGCGCGAGGGCCAGCAGGAGCGGGCAGTGCTGCGCCGTGTTCAAAAGGTGCAGTCGATGGCCAAGGGTGTGGAGCAGGAGCGACGAGCCCAGAAGCAGATGTTTGAAGTGCGGCCGCAAAAGCTCGTGGTACCTTCTCGTGACGAACCGATGAACATGTTTCAGCCGGCCACCTGGGCGATGGCGTTCCCGGAGCTTTTTCCTTGGGGGGACGGCGTTCCGTTCGTCAGGCGCGAGACGGGCATGGAGGCGGGCGAGGTATTTCGGTATTTGTTGCTTCGAGAAGAGCTGGTTTATGGCGACACGATTGCTTCGCCGGCCCTTCCTCGGTGGAGTATGTCCGTGTCCTGGCAGTGTTACATTCAAGACCGGGTTCGGAGTTAAGAATGGATATTAAATATTTCCGCCGGCTAGCGGATATGTGAAAGTAGTATGTCCGTGTCCTGGCAGTGTTACATTCAAGACGGGGTTTGGAGTTAAGAATCGACATTAAATAATTCCGCCAGTGGACGCTGTCTTGCGAAAGCTGGCGGATTTGTGAAAGTGAAGGGGCTCGCAGCAGGAGCAGCTCTTGCCTGTCATGTACGATGTGAACCGCAGACTTTCTCTTATGCGGACATCGAAAGCCTACGTGAAGCGGAGTGGTTTCAGTCGACACTGTGCGAAGATTGCGTCGGTGACCACGGAACAGCTGCTGCAGGCCATGGCCCTGCACGGCGAGAAGGCCGACATTCGCGAGTTATTGCGGTCGCCGGATGTTGACGTGTCGTTGAAGCGCGCGCTTGGCAGCGTGCTGCAGGCGAGCGCGAACGTCTTGGGCACGGAAGGACACCGCAGTCAAATTCGACTTCGAGGCCATGCGGCTGGTTGGCACTACGGGACTTCTCACGTCTTCGTGACGCCGAATTTGGCGGATTCCCGTGCTTCTTTGCTGCTGCAGCTGCACCTTCAAGGCGCGGAAGGGAAGGTCGAAAACTTCGACGTCGATCTGCGATGGGACTTGGAAGAGCCCTCGCTGCCGTCCTTGG